ACAGCTGGGGTCTAGCTGAGGGTGGCTGGGATGGGGTGATGTGCCCAGGAGTGTGGGTACATCAACATACACTGTGTGAGTGTATGCACTTTCCACACCCCATTAGCTAGCCCTTGCCTTCCCAAGTAACAGTGAGAAATGGAAGAAGATAGACATTGAAGACAGATGGAGGACAGGGGCACCAGGAGAGCGCTCTCTTCTCTGGCTCATCTTTACAACGGGCTCATCTTGCTTTTTACATGAGTCTATCTGTCCCAGGCCCCATTTCCACAAAGGACTTGCTTGAGGCAGCCTGAGAGGTGATTATACATATCTAAGTCAGTCTGAAGGAGTCTAGAGGCAATGTAGAGGAAAGGGGAGGAGGGGAGGCGCTTGTCCCCGGGCCCAGGAGTGGTGTGGTTGTGCTAGCTGAGCCCTGAATTTGACCCAGCTTCCTGCCACCAAAGCAAAAGGAGACATAGCACAGTTTCTGATGTTCTATTGTTTGATCAGAGGCAAATTAACAGCTCAGCATGGGAAATAACCTTTCTTCCCCTGTGAATTATGAGAGGAAAGGGCAAGGAATTTAAATATCCCCAGAGGTTGAAAAATACCTTTGTATGACCCTTTTCTTTTATTGTCTTAAACACACACACACACACACACACACACACACACACACACTCAAAACCATACTTCTCTAGGGCTTTAACCAACAGGGGACAGGGACCTAGCTCTCTTGTTACCTGGCTTAATGGGAGGAGAGAGGGATGTTACTGTGTCACTTGGAGCTACTGTTAAAACAAACAAACAAACAAAAAATCTTTCTAGCTAATTCTTTTGTTTTTCTGCTTTGTGTGTGTGTGTGTGTGTGTGTGTGTGTGTGTGTGTGTGTGTGTGTGTGTTTTGAAATAGTATCTAACTGTGTAGCCCAAGTTGGCCTGGAACTCTGGATCCCCCTGCCTCATAGGAGCTAAGATTCTAAGATTATAGGCATGTGCTGCCATTCTTGAGATCTGTATTGATGAGCATCTCATTCATTCACTCATTCATTCATTCATGTATTCATTCATTCAGTAAGCACTTGGGGGAGGCTGCAGGGAAGCCCTATGTTCTGAAAGGAGAGAGATAAATAGTTGTTATTAGGGAGGTATTGTGACAGAGTCATATACAGAAAGCCACATAATGAGGAAACTAGGGGGAGGGATGACTTACTCGGTGGGTATAGAGCCAGGGGTGGCTAACCGAAGATGCCACATTTGAGCTGGGTCTTATGGATGACGTGGTAGGAACTCTTTACACACTGAGATGGGACCTCCAGGCAGAGACAGATCAGAGCCTGAAATGTGGGAGGCACAGCTGATCCAGTCACATTTGTGGAAGCCCAGGAGGTCAGAGAGGACACAGCAGCCCTTAAAACATCACAGGCAGCTCAAAAGATAGACTGGAGGAGCAACTCCTAGAGGAGCAGAGGAAGTGTTGTCAAATCCCAACAAGGGAGGCTGGGCCCCCTGCCCGGTGGTGACCTGGTGACTGGGTGGTAACCGAGACACTTGGGCGTTAGTCCCATCCCCCCCATCCCTCATCCCTCACCCTCCACCTCCCCCCACTCCCCACCCAGGCTCTTTCCCTTTGCCTCCTGGGAGCCAGTGGAGCTTCAGTGACTGGCATAGTGGGCTTTCCCTCCCCACGTCTTAAAAATAGCTAGTCTGGAAGACCCAACAGTTTTGGAGTGACTCCGTGCACTTCATCTGACACTAAACAAATCAAATGCTGGTTTCTGCCTGGAAATTTAATACATGAGGAGGCAGGAAATCCCCATCAGCCACACTTACTGCAATTGACTGTCTCCTAGGGGGAAACCTAAGCATTCCCCCACGGCTCAGCTGCCAACCACATCTATAAATGGGGTCCTGGAGGCTGGGACCAGGGCTGGGTATGAGGGGTATGCTGACTCTTGACTGGAATGCTGAGGGCCTGGAGGACCATACTCATTGTTTATCTTTGTATCCATGGAAGAGGTCCACTATGGTCCAGTTCCAGCTTCTCTATCTTCATGTCCACTCCCTCAGCTAGTGCCCCATCCCAGTCTGGCTCCCTCCTTCCCTTCACCTCTAAGCTCTGCCCAGCTGTTCAAATTCAAAGGATGGCGCTTGCTCAGCCCACCCCAGGAGGAAACCTTTCCTGACCATGTGAGAATGAATGGCTCTGTGCTTTTTTCCAGGGCTCTGCATCTTTGTCTGGGAGCCTGTGGAGGGTCTCTTTAGTTTCACACACCTGCATGCACACAACAGGACCTAGCATGGGTGAAACAAACCTCCACTCACTGCTCAAGCATCCACTAGGGAGACACAGAAAGGGGACCAATGTCCAGGCACCCAGGAACTCTGGAAGGTGCCACTTCAAAAGAGACACTCCTTGAGGTGTGGTAGTGCTTTGAAGGAGGTAGCTGCCCCTGGTGGGCTTTTACCTCAGATGCATTCTAAGCAAACTAGAGGCTAGGGCACTGGCAGTTTTATCCAGCAGGGAGAAATTCTAGACAGCGACTTTTCTCCAACAGCTCCCTGCCGCATGAAAACAGATATGCTTTTCAAATGCTACTTTTTCTAACTCACAGCAAAAAGTGTATTTTCCTCTCTACCCACTGATAAGTGAACCATGATTTATAAAATAGGGCTGAACTTTTCTAGGTGTGAAAGCCTTGATCTCTGTTCTATTCTTCTAAATCCATTACCGATGAGCTGGGGAAATAGCTCAGCTGGTAGAGTGCCTGCCTGGGATGCATGAAGCTTTGAGTTCAAACCCCAGCACTACAGGAAATTGAGTGCTATGATCCATGCTTGTTATCCTGGCCCTGGGGAGCTGGATGTAGGAGGACCAAGGTCATTTTCAGATACATAGTAAGTTTAAGCTGGCCTAGACTATAGGAAACCCTGTCTCAAAACAACCCCCAAATAGCAACAAGAACTTTAACTAATTGGAACCAACTGTTTGTTTTCATCACTGTTGGGTAATTATCAAGATGCTGATAGTGATAGTGAGGTGGACCCATGTTTGGATCCTGTGCCTAGGTGTTCTGTGGCTTTGAGCACATCCCATTTTATCTACAATCGAAGTCTCATGGTTTTGCATTGAGGAATGGAATAACACAACGTGTTCATGGGCAGACCTTGAGGTTGAGGTGGAACCCACTGGCGGAGCCCTTGACACAGCGTTCTCTGAGAATCAGAAAGTACTTCCTGAGCAGTGTCCCTGCAAACTGAGGTGGAGGGCTGCAGTGGTGCTGAGAGGGACTAGAAGCCCTGGTGTCCCTGGGTGTTCCCTATTGAGGACAGCTCAGCCAGAACCCCCCAGGGCCTATCAGAAGTGATTCCAAAAACATGTAGCAAAGAATCCCTAGGCCCATAGCAGGCCCAGGTATTTCAAAGGAGAAGCCAGGCTGGGGGCCAGCTCTACCTGTGCAGGGACCACTAGAAAAAAGCAGTAATTAACATGGTGTGCTATTGGCACAGGGATAGATAAATAGACCAATGAAACAGGGTCCAGGCTGGAAAGCCATCTGTGCACATATGGAACCTTGATATATGGGTAAGGAGATGTACAAATCAGCAGGGAGAGATGGGCTCTTAATAACCAGCAATGGGCAACTGGTTATCCATTCAGAAATGGGGAGAAGGAAGAAATTAGATCTTCATACCAGACACAAAAATCAATCCCACATGGATTAGAGACTGAAATGCAAAAGGCAAAGGCACCTAACATGGTCAGCTCTAGGTCCTGCCCAAACTCCCCAGGCATAAGCACTGCCTTATGGGAGAGAGAATGAGGCCTTGGGGAGGGGCACAGGGATGTTCATAGAAGGTAGCCTGTCACAGTGAAGACAGGAGTGGGCCCTAGTCATCTTCCCATCCCTCAGTGCCTCCTCCTCTGGAAAGGCTTCTCCTGGTGACCATTGCACAGGACACATGTCCTGTTCCACCTGCTGGCCCTGCCAAGTGAGCCTCAGAAAAAGCAACCCAAGTGCACAAGGAGCTTCCATGTCACAAGCTCTCAACCTACTCACCCACCCACCACTGTCCCTGCCTGCAAAGTATGTCACCTTGAACAGACAGGGATGTGGCAAGGCCAGGCTCCAGAGAAGCCTCCAGCCAAAACGATACTCATGACGGAATTCTTGGCTGAAGTGTTTGCAGTAGGAGCTTGGGAGGGAGGCAAAGAACGCTGTTTGTGGTTATAATGTCATCTTTCCTTGAATGGGCAGGTCCAGGCTGGCATCCTTTCTGCCTTCCCTGGAGGCCATTCTGCAATGGCTTCACTGTCAAGGAAAGGACTCATCGCAGGCTTAGATTTCATGAGTGACTTAAAGAAATGGACATGACTCACTGCCCAGCACATTCGGTTGTCCTGGATTTAATAAATCTGACATCTGTATCTGGGATATTTAGCACACAATTGTTCATATACTTCCAGAATCCAAAAAAAAAAAAATCACTCATCAAACTGTGACTCATCAAACTGTGGGCTCTGTGTACCGAATCAGGGCCGAGAACCTATGGTCAGCTAGCCCCTGGACCGGGATTCTGTCTGACCTGTGAACACAAGCCTCCTCCTCTTGTACCCCAGTTTATCCATCTGTGAAATGTGTCTGGATTGGGTGATCGATCAAACTGCTTCTCAACACTTGTTTCTGGGTTCCACCTTGTTATCTGGGAGCCCCCAAACCAGAAACCATGCTGCTGCTGTTCTTGGCAAGTAGACTCTTATTTCGGCTTTGCTTGCTTTGACACCCTCCCTGGCCTCTGGGGCTGAGCCAGGAAGTTTGACTTCTTGCGATGCTGTGTGGACTCCTACCCATCTTCTCACCTGGGAACAGTGGTCAGCTCTGATACATGTGCTGCTCCGCTGAGCTGCATCTGCCCTTTCAGCCTGGGTTTCCCAGAACCTCTATGGACAGATCATGGCCTTGTGTCTGATCAGGGTGCCTCTGTGCTACATGCTAAGATGTCTGCTTCCTCTTTCAGACCACAGAGTATTCAGCCATGGCCTCACTGGCTGGAGGCCTGGACGACATGAAAGCCAACTTGACAAGCCCCACCCCTGCTGACATTGGAAGCAGTGTGCCAGGGCCACAGACGTACCCCATCGTTACAGGTGAGCATACCTGGATGGGGATGTAGAGGGGCGAGAGGGAGAGAGAGAGGATGAATATGAATGTGTGGTGGGAAGTCGTTTGTGGTGCTTCGGATATGACTGGCCTCTTCTCTAATGAGGTTGTAAGGTCCCAGCTCAGGTCAGGTAGCAGACTGCTGCGGAACACAGGTTGTGGCTGAGATGTGACATGGCTGCTTGTTGCTCCAATAAAACTAGAGGAGAATAAGTGCTGAGAGGCAGAGATTGCACGGTCACAGGGGCTTCTGCGGTGGGGCCAGGCATTCAGAGGTCTGGGAATTCTCCCTTTTCACAAGCCAGGGAAATCTGTGGGTTGGCATCAACTTCCAGGAGTAGAGGGACTCTTTGTAAGTCATCATTGGTATTTCAGATTTCCAAGCTGAGGCCAAGTACAGACGGGCTAGGGGGTGCTGGGTATATGCCAAACAGCGGCTTACCTGGCAGCCTCCATTATCACCATCAGTGTGAACATTAAGGGTAGGGCCCTCAGGCTGGTGTACAACTCAGCAACAGAGCACTGCCCAGCATGTGCGGGGCCTGAGTTCCATCCCCAGGACAAGCCTCCGCTCCCTTCAGGGGTCCAACCTGCCACGTATCAGCCACACCATCTTGGGTGAGTTGTACCAGAACTCCTGCTGTGGTTTTCTGATTTGTATGCCGGGAACAGTGACAACAGCTAGAGCACAGGACTCTTATGAGGATGACCAGGTTCCCACACACGAGGAGCTTGGACCCTTGCCTGACACAAAGTAATTACGCAGCAGGTGTGTCTGTTTGTGACTCCTCAGAGCCCTTTCGTGCTGGTAACTGTAGGACTTGCTGCTACAAGGGATGCCCTTCTCCAACCCAGCACTGTGGAGCTGGAACAGTACTACAGCCAGCTCTGGGAAGGTGTCTCCCCCAGGAGGCAGGGGCGCCTCCAGAATGTGAAACATATAGACAGCGGGGGGCTGCTGGGCTATACTCGGGCTGGAGCTCGGGATCCAGCCAGAGATGGCACGATGATGTCCCAGATGGCTGATGGATATAACCTAACAGTAGTGACAGAGCCAAGACATCATCATGTATTAGAGTTTGAAGAGGAGGGGCGAAGGAGGCAAGATCTGAGGCCCAGGGGTCCTTTAGTGACAAGACAGGAACCCTGCTCTCTGAGACCTAACCATTAAGTTAGTCCTGGAGCTCAGGGTAAAAACAACTGAGCCTTGTTTGCAGATCTGGGGACGACATGAGGGTCAGACAGAGTAGGAGTGACTTTGTCCTTGGTTTAGCTAAGGAGGGAATAGCCCAAAGCCAGCTGAGCCCTCCTATACAGAAGGGAAGTCAGCCAGTGAGGTGTCTCCTGAGGACCCCTGCAGGGCTCACCAGGGACCTCAGTGACAACATTCCCATTATACAGGTGCAGAAGCCAAACTCAGACGTGCCTGCTGTATGGAGTAAGGAGCTGAGGTACAGCCACCCTAGTCTCCTAGGAGGAAAAGTTGGGCCAGGATTTAGGAAAAGTTGGGCATGGGTTTAGGAACATGCTTATTTAAGTGGCTAATTGTCCAGTGAACACTGAGGCTAGGATTCTTGTCTGTGGGAACAAGATGCATGCTTGCTAGCTAAGGCTAATCTAGCCTCCAGATAAATCTAATTGGGCCCCATGGGGCTTTTAGAAAATTTGAACCAAGTCTTAAAAAAAAAATACAGCCTTCTGATTTCTCAAAAAAAAATTAGAAGGGCTGGCCCCATTGGACTGTAGTCCCACAGGTCATGGTAGGTTGGGGCTCAGCGGCAGCCACTCCTCAAACATAGTCACAGTCCCCAGCCAAAGGCCAGCTCATTCATGTTACTTGGATCCACAGAGTTGCTCTGAAAAGGCCAGCTGGGTGCTACAGGAGCTCCCAGATCTGCAGAAGGCTGCAGGAGGTTCAGGTGTAAGGTACACAGATTGGTTTTCAGATAAGCCTTGAAGCAAACTTAGGCTGTGCTTACTTGACTTTCTTCATTTTAATGGTCACATTATAGCACAGGAAAAGAGTACAAACATCCCTGACCAAAGTTAGGGGTATGCTTAGTTCTGAAGTGTCAGGGACATCCCAGAGAAGGACATGGGGCTGAACACCTGTGGTACCAGTGCTCAGGAGGCTGAGCTGAAGGATCAGGAGCTGGAGGCCAGCCTGGCCTACTAAGACCCAGTTTCAAAACACAGAAGCAAACATATAACATAGAAGGCACATTCTAATTGTCAGCATAATCATCTTTCTTATAAATAAATAATAATTAGCATGATAAAAAACAAACCCTTCAACAACTACACACACACATGCAATACAACCAACGAAAGAAGATACTAAACGTAATAAAATTTTAAATAAAAGCAAAAACATATGAAATTCTATAGTAATGAAAAGTATTGTAGAAGCTGAGGTTAAAACACTTGGGCCAAGATAGATATCATACAAACAGATTCAAATATATGTTGTTAGATCCCTGCTTCACTGTCTCCATTGAAAGAAATGTATTATGAGATAACAGATGCTTATTAGCCAAATTTAGCCATGACACATTGTAATGTATATCAAAACATCACAATTTACCCCATAAATATGTATATTTGTGTATCATTTATAACAAAATCCCAGTTAGCTGAAACTTTAAAAAAATAAACAAGGACAAAAAACAAAACAAAACAAAAACCCAGGCAAAATTATATTCTTATGGTAGAAAAGGCCTCTAAAGATGTTTCAAATACAAATGATTGAAAAATGTTAAAATGCAAATCTTTTTGTATGTAAAAACATTTAAAGACAAAAAGAAAAACTAGGGTGGGGAATGTAATGCAGATGATAAAAGTCAATTTGTTTAATATATAAAGAATTTTTGTGTACACACAAAATATTGCTAGGCACTACTTTTTATATGTATACGTGTGTTCCTGCTTATCTGTATGTGCACCATATGTGTGCAGTTGCCCAAAGAGACCACAAGACGGCGTCAGGCCTCCTGGAACTGAAGTTACAGATGATTGTGAGTTGCCTAATGTGAGTTCTGAGAACCAAATCTGGTCCTCTGCAAGAGCAACAAGTTAACTGTTGAGCTGTTGGCCTCTATATAAATGGCGTTTAAAAACAAGAAGGGGGCCGCGGAGATGACTGAGCAGTTAAGAGCACACTCTGCTCTTGCAGAGGAACTGAGTTCCAATCCCAGCACCCATGTCAGGTGGCTCACTACCATCTCCAGATCTGACACCTCTGACCTCTGCAGGCACTTCACTAGTGTACACCCACCCTGCACAGACACTCATGCATGCACATAATTTAAAATAATAGAAATAAATATTTTCAAAATTAATAAAAATAATCTGTAGAAAGACTAGACAATGAGTGGTTAGTCTGTGGCAAAAAATGCAGTGCCTCAGAGTATACAGGAGATGTGTACCTGCCTCGTTGTCTCAAAGCTGCAAATTAAAACCAGATGTTTGAACTGATACCATTCCCTCTGCATTAAGGCTTGGTGTTGGAAAGGGCACAGGAAAGATGTTGCTATGGGAGTATAAATTGATATAATTCCTTTTGGAAGAAAGCTTGGCAATGTCTATCAAAGTTTTAAATACATTTAAGTACCCTCTGGCTCAGAAGTTTTATATACTCTTTAAGGAACTTATTTTACAGGCCTGCAGTGATGGCAAACAAATAGAACCAAAGCAGACCCTGCAATAGAAACTGGCTAAGTAGATGATGATGCCTTCCTACAATGCAACATTATGCTACAGTGGAAAGAAAGGCAGGAGGCTGGAGAGATGGCTCAGTGGTTAAGAGCATTTGCTGCCCTTGCAAGGGACTCAGGTTTGCTTCCCAGCACCTGATAGCTTGACCTGTCTGTAACTCTGGTGCCCTCTTCTGGCCTCCATAGGCATCTGCATGGACATGGTGCACAGAGACCAGGCACACACGTACACAAGTTATAATAAATATTTTTTAAAGGAGAGCTACCTATACCAACATGAATGTCTAAGACCTACATTTGATTAAAAACAAATTGTAGAAGAATAAAGTGTGATCCCATATACTGTAATACAGTATTATTAAGAATGCAAAACATAACAGTAAGAAAACTGTACTGTTGTTAACATAACCATTGAATTCACATAGCAGACAGCTACAAGCATGCACACAGAGCCTGTGTAGCAGACGCTTGTGCATGAAGCTTCAGTAGGAGGCCTCTGCACCCTTCCTCTGTCTTACAGGGTATTGGGTCTCTGCTATCACAGTGGGGTTTCATTTGTCCCCACCAGAGTCTCTTTGAGTTAGCAGAACCTCCTCCTCCCCTTTATGTTCTTGATATATAAGTTTACAGGGAATGTAGCCTGTTGTCTTGGTTACCTTTCTATTGCTATGATAAGACACCATGGCTGAGGAAATTATAAAAGAATGCATTCAATGGAGCTAATGGTTCTAGAAGGCTCAAGTTCCTGACCATCAAGGCAGGGAGTCTGGCAGAGGCAGAAAGGCGTGACATTGAAGCAGTAGCTGAGAGCTTACACGAGGAACGGTGCTGGCTTTTGAAACCTCAAAGCCCACCCCCACCCCACCCCCACCCCAGATCCCCAGTGACTACCTCTCCCAACAAGGCTGCACCTTCGAATCCTTCCCAAACAGTTCCACCAACGGGCACCAAGCATCCAAAAGTATGAGCCTGTGGAGGCCCTTCTCATTCAAACACCACACCTGTTTTCACATTTACTTTTAAACAAAACCAAACAGAGCCTGGAGGAGCTACGTGATGTGTGTGTGTGTGTGTGTGTGTGTGTGTGTGTGTACTGCAGGACATAACGAGGAGACCCAGGGCTTCTCCATGCATAGAACACACGTAGGAAGGGGTATGGATGGGGGACTCCTGGGCTCATCCTGGCATTGTGGTTTACCAGAAGGTTGAGGGACTCCTGGCACAGTTCCGAGTGAGAGACGGTGGCTGGGGTCCTGGGCAATGTGTGGAGTGTG